CGGTCCCGCTGCCCCCCTCCTCCCCTGCCAGCAGCACTCGGAACTTGTCGGCCGAGAGGGTCATGGGGATGGCAGTTGACTTCCCGTGCTCCCCATCCCGCACGTTGAAGGTCAGGTGCACCAGGGGCTCACTGACCTCCTGCAGCTCACTGGAGCTGAGGGTGTAATCCACCCGCCAGCGCACCGAGCCCAGCTGGCTCACTAGGGTGGGCAATGGGGCAGCGTCAGCACCTCAGCTCACTCCAGCAGAGTGACAGACGCTGACCCCCAAAGCCCTGGGCAGACCCAACACCCCACTCACATCGCAGGCTGCAGGCCCTGAGGCTGTCCTGGAGGGAGCTCTGCTTCTCCTCGTAGGAACGGCACAACCCGCTGGCGTGCTCTGCTCACGAGGAGGGACAAGACAAAAGAACCACCCTGCTCACCCCAGCCCCGAAGCAGGTGATGGGGGACAGCACAGCTGCCAGCCTGCCCTGCATCTGGGCATGAAGAAGGCAGAGCTGGGCACCGTGTGGGGCACATTCCACCACGCCTGGCCTGTGGTCCCCCCTACCTTTGGGCAGCCCCAGCTGCTGCAGCTCACTCGACAGGGACTCGCTGTCCACATTGTGCTTGGCTGCACTGGAGAGGATGAAGCCGAGGACAGCAATAGTTGCCTTCACATCCCCCGACTCTGTGGGCAGGATGGAGGGTGAGCTCCCTGCCTCGGGAAGGCAATCCCAGCTGGATTTCTGCCTATCCCCGAAGCATGACTTCCTGGGGGGATCTCAGGAGCAGCTCTCACCTAACTTTGCATCCGAGGTCAGCTTCAGGATCTTCTCATACTGCAGGAGAGCAGAGCATCAAGGTAAACACCAGATAACACATTTACTAATAATGGTAACACTCATAATTCCTATCTTACTAGCAAGACAAGTAACACTTAATTTCCCTATTATTACTACTACTAGCGGCTGGTAGCATTCTTAACGCTGAGGCTTGCACTACCAACACGAGATTAATTAATGATGTCATTATACTTGGCCTCTACCGCGGTAGCCTCACACTCACGTCGATGGCCTCGCCCAGCAGGTCCCGCAGCACTTGGGCGCAGATCAGCTTCAGCTTCATAGACGACTGCGGGGATGAAGAAGAAGAAGAAGAAGGGTGAGCAGCGCGGCCGGGGCGGCACGGGCAGGAGGGCGCGGGGGGCGCGGGCACTTAACGATTTTGGCCAGAGTGCTGATCTCGGCCAGCACCCAGTCGGGGCAGTCCAGGTCCCCGCAGAAGCGGAA